AAAGGGCGATAGGTTAACAGAATAATAATTAAACAGAGGCTAACAGGCTTAAGGCTGTGATGTTAAAAGGCTGGGCACAACAGGATTTGGTTGCAAGTAAGGTGAAGAGCGTAGATGGGGTCACTGGAGGTGTTAAGTAGGGTTTGTGCTATAGTTATGTAAATTATCCTATCAGTTTAATCATCATGGTCTATATGAGGGTGTGTTTGTTTATGTACATGCCTGTACATGTGCATACAAGAGCCCTGTAAATGTTCTCATATACAGAATGGGGAAATAGAGGTTACCCTTTAGGAGTGGGGATGCAGAGCTTTATTAATCGCTTCTGGGAAAGGAAACAGGAGTGCACTGGCTTTTTTTCTGAGGGTCCCGTGATTAATTTATTTCTTTTCTCCATACATAATCACAAAGTAACTTGCAGACAAGTTTGAGTGACTGAATAGCTGCTGAGAAGACAGCATGTCTAAGCTTGCAAGAGAATCTACTTTGCTGGAGAGAATGCAGCCAGATTTGTATCTGCAGCGAGTCACTTCGGAAACGTGTCCCAGCTTGACTGAAAATTCCTTCCCTCCGTAGGTGGGAGGAGATTGTTCTTTGCTGTTAGGTTTCTTTTTTCACCCATCTCATGCTGCTTACTCGCTGACTAAACCCTGATGAGATTTTATAAAGTGAAGAAGTCCCAAGCAAGAAATTTCTTCGTAGTATTTAAAACGTAAAAGTATAGGGAGGAGATGCTGTTAGTAATATGATGAGATAAACTTACTGCACTTTTAGTGTCAAGGTTCATTTTAATGGTGTTTATAAAATTAAATCAGATTTTATGATCAGATCAGAAACCAGTGTTATGTAGAAGAGAAAATTAATTTCCCCCGTTTTTCTTAGGGCTTTTTAAAAATCTGTGTATATTGAACCACTGCAATAAGTTTGCTGTAGTCAGGAAGTTTAAATTTAAAGTATATTTATGTTGCATTTAAAAATTGAAAAATTTATCTCAAATGTCATTTAGCATAAATTGATGCTAAGTATGAACTTGAAGGGAAAAAAAAAAGTCACATATTTTTATCACTGATCAAATTTTTATTACAAATTACATACTTGAGCAGCTTCATTCATCCAACTGAAGTAATTTCAGATGACCTTTTCCTCAGCAGACTGTCTGAACAGAATATTGTTCTGCTCTTAATTGTTTTGGACATAGTGTGTTGAAAAATCTTAAGGGAGTTGAATTTTGTTGTTCAGGGTTTGCAGTACATAATTTTGCTTGCATGTTTACTGCTGACCTGTCAAATTATATGAAGAAATAAATTTCTACCACGGATCAACTAATCATGAAAATAGTGTTGAGGTGTTTGATTGACATAGTGAAGCTGTTAATTTAGAGTGTATCAAGATCAAATGGGAGTTATTGCAATTAGGAAGTGATTGTGTTCTCAATGCAAATCCTTAAATGCTGCATTTTAGATCTTTCTGCATTTTTTTGCTGTCTTATGACTGTATTAGGGAATTTCTATGTTTTGTTACATTTAGATACTTAATGTTTAAAACAATTTCAGTACATATTTTACTTTCTTATAACAGCTGATATTTAATTGACTGGGGAGAGCTGCCATACAGGTAATGTTTCTACACTCCAAAGGGCTTTGTAGAGCACAGGTTTCAGTCAGTTTGAGGTTTTGTTGAATTTTTTTGTTTGTTTACTTTTGTTTTTACAACTTTGGTTCAAAATATTATGGTATCAGGCTAATATCTTCCTGCTTATTTCTGTGGGAGTGGCTCCTTTATGACATGCTTAGTGGAGTCTGATTACTATATAGTTCTGTTCCAAGGTCTGTATGAATGAAGTTGTATTCAATTCAATGTGTCATATATAGTAAGACCTTTGCGACCAGAGCGTGTCACAAATGTTAGAGTTGGCACTTTCATATCCCTCGTCCTTGAATCATAATGGTTCAGGTATTCTTGAAAGCCACATATTTCTTCTAAGTATTCTTAGAAAAAAATGTGGCATATCAAAAAGAATGTTTGTTCTCTCTATTGCCTTCTCTTTTTAAAATCTACAGTCAAGCGTATGGTGCTGACAGATAACACGGAGATTCTAGAGAGCAAAAGGCTTCTCATGTCCATAAAATTGCAGACACAGGTATGGTGGTGAAACAAGCTGGCTTAGGTGAAAAAAGCTGTGGATACCCAATGAAGTCCCTAAAGCAATTTAGCCTTAGCCCAGTAATGGTAATTTTTTTCTTTGGATGAGTCAAGCAATTTTCTGTTAGCTTCAATGCTTCTGCTCCAGTGCTGAGGCTGCTGTTTCTCCTTTTTTTTCATGAACACGATCTCCTCAGTCCTGTGCAGCTGCTAAGGAGTAGTTTGCTCCTGGTTTAGGCCTCAAGTTTTACCTGCACACTTGGATGTCTGTTGCCTGGGATTAGCTTATTTCCTTATTCAAGAGTGTAGAAAACAAGCAAGCAAAAGCCTCACATTAAGAACAGTGTTGAGCTGATATTGCAGCTCTTCAGTCTCACTGAAGAGAAGTAGTGTAGAGACCATTACCTAAGTGCTTGGAGATTCTTACTGAATCACTGTCTCCAGTTGACCCTTTGGTATATAGAAGTGCACCCGATGGGCACAGGCTGTGCAGGGAAGCAGTTTAGTTCTCTGCCTTGGAAGGGAAATCGCTCTGAATGAAGTTCTGGCAGATTTTTTAGAAGGTTAGAAAATATGGGGGGACAGGGGAGAACTGATATTTATGATAACAGAAGTAAAAATACTATAAGCTTATGTACTTCGTTAGTTTATCCATACATCCTGCGTTGGCTTCAACTCCCATTTGGGTCACAATATTTTATTCCTACTACTATTTATTAAGGAATATGAAAGTGATGAGTGTTTCAGAAACTAAAACATAACTTGCACCTGTCTGAGACTGTTTTATTCTGCAGCCACCTGAAAAAGATGCATTCAAAATATATGCTTGTAACTTGTGCTTTTGTGACCAAGCAGGAAAATTAGGGTTGCAGTTTTTCCCAAAATTTGAGAAGTGTTTTTTAGATCCAGTATTTTTTTTCAGTGAACACAGTGCACTTTTCCATTCCTCACAGCTAGCACAGATCATGCTGTTTTACATGGCCAAGGGATGTATTTGGGTAATGGGACTCAAAAGTGGGCCAGCTGAGCTATGGCACTTGGATAGAGGTGTTAATTTTTATTTTTTTTTTTTTAATTGATGAAACATTTTGACTTGTTATAAACAAAAGATGGTTAGAGATGAGCAAATAACATCGAGTGCAAGGGAAAGGGTTAGTGAACACATTAAGGTTTATGCTTTTAACCAAGTGGGACAAGGTAGAGCTCCTGTTTTTCTTCCCTTGGCTGTTGCAGTTCTCTCAGCAGTCTGACTGTCTTCCCATGTGATATTTCCACGCTTGTGGTTCGAGGTCAATGGAGACACAACTGGCATGATTGTGCACAAACTGATAATCTCAGTCTGCTGTACTCCACGTGGCTTCCACATTCATCTTTGTGATAGTCTCTGTTTGGATTTCAGAATAGCCTGTCAGCTTTGCCTTTCCTCAGGTCTTAACAAGGATGGCTCAGCAGACACATGTTAACTTCTTATGTCTCTTGTCCTGCTTAAGTATCTGAGAGTAGGAGAAAAATAGGAGCAATCTTGGCAGATTGATGGGAGTGATGTCAGTATAAAATCAGTGTCAGTAAGGAGGGTGATGTATTTGCTAAGTTTATGAAAAGAAATTGGCCAGATTAATTCTTCCAGAGAAGAACTACTGACTGATGGACATTAATATGCACCTTTTGGTGGATGTTCTCTCACTCTTTTTCCTCCACGTGAGCGAGAAAGAAACAAGCACAGCTGGGTTCATGAACATCTTTCTAGAGGCCAGACACTAAGCCCACTGGAGAACTGCTTTTAAGGCCATGATTTTTTTTTCTTTAATTGATAAAGTTGTAACCAAAAGTGGTTATAACCACTTTGTTATAACTGAAAGATGGTCACTGAAAGCGATCTACTTGAAGTAGACACTGAAAGTGTCTACTGCAAGGAACAAGGCTGGTGAACTGCCTGTCCCTTCTGTTCCTCTTTTCAGCAGCAGCCTCTTGTATGTGAACTTCAGGGCCTGATAATTTTCTTTCTTGGACACCACAGGGCCACCACTCCCATACTGCAACCAGCCCAAGCCCGGCAGGAAGTGAAGCAGAAGGTCTCTTGCACTTGTGTAGCTTTTGGGTGCATGGAAGGGTGTTACTGAGCTGATCCTTGCTAGGAACTCTGGCAGGCTTGGAACTATAATTCCAGGTGTTCAAAACCTGGAATTATCCCAGCCAGGCTGAAAACTGGGGGTGGGGGCAGGGGTAGAGGCCAATGAAGAACCAGAGCTGTGGGTAAGAGGACAGAGGTAAAGGACAGAGCTGTGAAAGACAGGGAGACTGGCACTCAGAGCTGGATTTGATGCTAAGCCTGACAATAGCAGAGAGGTGTGCTGTTGAAGGTCTCAGCTGTGCAATTTTCTGTTTTTCCTAACACAATTAGTTTTAATCAAAGTGGGGTGAATGAGTAATTTTTGAATTTCATTTTCTTACTTAATTTCTCCCATGACTGCAAAACTACCACAGATGATGATGATATTTTTAAAATACTGTGTGTTTGCAAGTAAGAAAATATTTGTGATACAGTTCTCTTTTGGTTAAAGAAATAGCAGCTTACGTGTGAGTTGGTATTAATGGCACATTCAGTAATGACACACGATGAAATTATTTTACTAGACAGAGAAGCGCTTAGACACAAACATAAGGTATTTCTGAATCTAGCCATCAGCTGGAGGTGATTGAATATACACTATTTGTGCATGTTTTTTCAAATAATTACTGTGGAAAATATTGTGGCATTGTAGTTAAAAGCAGGTTTTTTTCATGCTAATAGCTGTAGAGGGAAGAGGATTCCCAAAGAGAAATGCTATTCTATAATGCCATGCTAATCTTCCTGACAGAAAGCAGAAGAGGAGGAGCTTGTCCTCACACCTGATGGGACCAGGGAATTCCTGACATTTGAAGTTCCACTGAATGACTCTGGATCAGCTGGACTTGGTGTGAGCGTCAAAGGTAACCGGTCAAAAGAGAACCATGCCGATTTAGGGATCTTCGTCAAGTCCATTATTAACGGTGGAGCAGCATCAAAGGTAAGAGAGAACTTCTGTGTACTTTGCTCTTCCTCAGTTTTCCATAATAAGGCTGTTTTGAAAATAACCACAGATTCAAGGAGAATGAGATTGCTCTGTAACTAACTTTTTCCAGTTACACCACCAGAGGTGATGTTTAGATTTCTGCACAGACTCACATGTTTGCCCACCGTGGGATTCAAAGAGCCCTCATAGATTCTCAGGAGGGACACGAGTTGTCCCTGCTGCAGTTCAATTAGTATTCTGTTTGGGCAAACAGGTTATGATAATAGCTTGCAGTGCAAATCTATAATTGGAATAGACATTTCCTACAGTAGCTGCAATGGAGACTATTACACCAATGTTCATTTAACCATAAACTAATAGCACTAAGCATAGTTGTTGGGGTTTTTTTGGTGGGTGTTTTTTTTTTTTTTCCCCTTGTCTCCAACAGACTAAACTTCTCTGGTACATGTTTTATGTAACTGGCTATAACCTTTCCTTTTCCAGGATGGCAGACTTCGAGTGAACGATCAACTAATAGCAGTAAATGGAGAATCATTAGTGGGCAAAACAAATCAAGATGCTATGGAAACCTTAAGGAGGTCCATGTCCACTGAAGGAAACAAACGGGGAATGATTCAGCTTCTTGTGGCGAGGCGAATAAGTAAATGCAATGAGGTAATGTGCCTTTGATATCAGGACTGGGAGTTTTCACTTCTAAGTTATATGTGTTTATGAGAGATGTCGTGTTTCCTCTGAGACCTGGAAAATAATATTTGAAAAGCTAACGAAAGAGAAAATGACAAAATTATCTGAATTTCAGTGTTAGACATGCTAGCCTTATGACTAATCAATAAAGTTTTTCTTTTGAGTATTTTCATCAATGAACAACAGGAAACACTGAATAAAACTATATTGATTTTGTAATTGGATCCCACTGTTTACGTGATCTTTGTTCTTTGGAGTTCTTTATGGAAGCCTATTGAGTCGTCCGTTTATAGAGTTAGTGTTAATGGACTTCCTTCTTTATCACTTTCTGTTTTTTTAATTGTGAGTGGAACTCTTACACTTCATTATTATATTTTATCTAAGAAATTAAAAATTCTGCAAAACTTGATGCAAATGATTCTGTTATTTTGGGTTTTAAATATGTTGTCTCTTGGCCTTCATTGGAAAGTATGAAATACTGAATTCAGGGTGAAAGGGTGACTCTCTTCCTGATTCTATTTGCAACTTGTGTCTCCTCCAGCACAACGTTGATGTGTTAATGTTTTGAAACATATTCATAATTTCTAATGGTTTATCTTCTAGATTAATATAAATAATGTCATGTAGTAGGAACATGTGGGCATACGATACCGAGCAGGACTGCAGGTGCCATGGCGGACTGCATTAGACTTCAATATGATTTTGACAAATTGGAGAAACGCACTGAATTAAATAGGTTGCAGTTGAATGGTGGGTTAGGGAAGCATCTGTTCTTAAGATATCTAAAAGTCATTCTTTCATTCTTGTGAACACCTGTAAGGCCTTATCAAGAATGTTATTTCTTGAGCATCTTGCTTCAAAAATGATGTGCACCAATTGGTTTAGTACAGCTGATCCTGCCTAGGAGGAAAAGGAATGGTTTGGTTTTTAGTGCATAAAATCAATATTTAAAAAATTCCAGTCCATAGTGTATTAGAAAATCACTTTTGAAAAAGACACTAGCCTCTCAGAAAGTATTAAGCTCCTCTTGATTAACTGCTTATACACAGCTTAATACACATACACATGTATTTTATACATATACACACTGCTGGAAAGGCAGCTTGAGTGCACAGTTTCTCACTTGGTGTTGAAGAAATTCTGACTTTTTATATTTGATGATGCCGTGTTCTAGCCGTAATTCTCAGCTTGGACTGCAGACTGTTCTTTGGAGACTATTCCTTATTCATATCCACTTTTGGATGCATTTTCTATGTTACTAAATAAAAAGGGTGAAATATTCTAAACTATTTTTGTGGTTAATATAGGTTTTTTCCCCCAAGGATGTACAAGATGTTCACTTTTAGTGAAAGTCTTCTAGATAAAATGTATCAAGACAGTGTTTTTAAGCTCGATGGGGAAGATGGAGCAATGATGAGCCAAAGACAATGCTCCTTAAATCCGATAGAGTTTTTGCTTGTTCAAGTTAAGAACAGTTTGCTGCCCTACATCTGCTTGACATTTAGTGTGATTTATTTTGCAGAAATCACTTGGCAAAAAATGGCACAGCTCATTCTACAGTATGTGTGCTCCAAGATGACAGAACTGATGTTAGAACCAGACTTTGATAGACTGAACTGAGTAGAGGGAGCAGTGTGGGGAACTGTGTCTGTCTGGACCTACTTTACATTTTTTAATGCATTCTCCCAACCCTGAAATAAGCTGGTGAGATAAGCCATAATGATTTGGGAAAGTGATGATATGCAATTATTGGTGTAGTGATCATCTTTACAAAATAGTTCTTATAACTATATTTTTGAGGAGTTATTGCTTTCATGACATTCATCCAAAGGAAATAAGATGTCAATACTTTTTTGCGTATTTTAATATGATGAAAGCACAACTTACAGAGAGATAAAGCTGTTTCCCTGCTGAGCTCGCAGTATTCAGGAAACCAGTTTTCTGAAAGTCTTGCAATGCTCAGACTTCAATGAAGCAAAAAGTGACAGAAGAATTTTTTTCTTGGCACTTTGCAATTAAACCCTAGTTATTTGTTTGAGAATTGAACAGATTTAAACTTTAGATATTATTAATCTAATATAGTACTGCTACGTTGTGATAATACTATTCATGTAGTTTGTATGAGTAGCACACGAGAGTCCGGTATTCAGTCAGATTAGCCACTAAGTAATGGATGTGTGACCTGAGACCCAGCTGGAGAGCAGCATCGTGCAGCTGAGTCTTGCAGTGATATTCACTTTCCCGTGGAGCACCAGCAATGGGCCATGTCTGGCAGCCTCAGTTAGATTTACGCTTAATTCAGCAACGTAGGTTACTTGGATGCACTGGTAGCCGTGTTGTCCCCTTGGAATAGTCCTGTAGCTTTCACCAGCCTAGCATACAGACTCAGCAAAGATTTTGAATATTAGGAAAAAAAAAAAAAAAAGACATCTGACTGGCAGCAAATTCAGGGGCTTGCAGCTTAGAAGTAAAGCACTGGAAGGGCAGACGCTGTCTTGATAAATCAGACCTTTTTCTAGGATAGAATCATAAAATTGTTTAGGCTGGAGAAGGCTTTTAAGATCATGGCATCCAACCATTCACCTAACTCTACCAAGTCAGTGCTAAACCCTGTCCCTAAGCACCATTTCTACATGACTTTTAAACACCTCCAGGGATCGTGACTTTACCACTTGTCTGGGCAGCCTGTTCTAGTGCTTCACAGCCCTTTTGGTGAAGAAAGTTTTCTAGTGTCCAATTCAAACCTCCCCTGCTGCAGCTTGAGGATATTTCCTATCACTCATTGCTCAGGAAAAGAGAGTGACCCCCACCTCACTACAGCCTCCTTTCCAGTAGATGCAGAGTGATAAGGTCTCCCCTCAGCCACCTTTTCCACAGTCTAAATGACACTAGTTTCTCAGAAATGGGGTTTTACTGTTTTTTCTTAAAGACAAGAAAGATAGGTTTACTTTTTGAGAAGGTATTTCCCTAGTGTTTTTCTCTCTCTTTTGATTCTCCAAAGTAGTCATGATAAAATAACAGCAACAAAAAAGATCCTGTTCAACTGATTTCTTATCTATGTTGATTCAGCATGGTATGTGCCCACTTTATGGACACAAATATAGCTTGCACTGTTGTTAGTCTTGCAGAAGCAGAGGTAAGTGGAAGAAGGCTGATTGTATTCCCTCTGGGCATGGCCAGCAGCAGTGTTTGTGCTGCACCATTCCAGTGGGACGGCCAGTCCTGCACTGCAGTACGACGTCAGGGCTGAGAGCCCTGGGGTATTAAGGTATTAATTAGGTATTAAGAAAGTTATTACTATGAATGCTGTTCTTTTGTTTTTAATATTTCATTTTCATAATCAGCCTTAAGAATACCAGCGCAGGAGGGATAATTAATTTAACAGCATGGTTATACAGAGTGTCATTTCTCTGTGTTTCTGTTCAAACCAGAATTTTCGTGTGCATTTTGTATTTTGGGTGCTGTCAAGAAGAGAGGACAGGTCAATCCCTTTTGTCCTGGGTTTAGAGAGGCAGAGACAGTTGCCTCCGATTTGCTGCAGAGGAGCTGTTTCTTTGGCAGAAAGCTTTCTTCTTTCAAAAGTAAAAGTCTACTTAACTTGAGCATGAAACTGTTTCACAACTTTATGAAGTGACCTCTGATACTCCCTTTTTCATGCCAGCGTTCTTCTCATACAGCTTCACCAGTTCTCATGTTGTAGACTAAACCTCCGAAGCAATTACAGTAACAATAAAAATGTACATAAAACCCATAAGAGTATTATCTTGCCTTCAGAGGGGTAGTCAGGAGATCATTTACATCATCACTGCTTACATAACTGTAAACACAAAAGAGACCACAAACTTCCCAGAAGGTAAAAAGTGTTTTTATGGTGTTGTGGTTTTACAGAACTGAATAGTTGCCTGTAGAAAGAATTTTCATTGACTCAACAGAGGATACAGTATAATCCACCCAGGTTTTATCTTGTAGTAAATATTGATATAAGCATGGAGTGAGTGGTAGTTATGAATGAACTCCAAGCCAAAACTGTGTATCTTAAGTTTTCTCCTGTTTGCATTACATCTACACAGAGTACAGTACTGTGGTTAATTGTGTATGCGGCACCACTGCAAACCTTGCAAAGCTTTTTTCAGTACCACCCACTCCAGACAAAATCACACAGTGAATGTATGATATATGCTTTTAGATAAGTGTAACAAAAACATTTAGTTTGGTATTTGGATATAGCTAAAGTTCCCCCCACCTCTACCTATGGAAAAGTTAAATATGCTGTTCTAATCTGTGTTTTCAACTTTCAGCATTCCCTCTGGTATCAGCATTGTGTGTTGACTCTTCAACTTTCCTATATAAGCACTGAGAGACTTTAAGATATGTTTCCAAAGTTATGCAGTGGCAAAAATTGGAAGAAATAACAATAGTGTGGACTTGATATTCATGTATGACCAGTATTTTAACACCTCAGTTTTTAGAAGATGTGGCCATCAGCTTCTTAGATCTTTAACTCAAAGGTGACACTTTAAAAATGACTCAGATTCAAGGAGAAATACTGGCGCTCCTTGCACCGTATTCTGTTAATTAGTGATATTATGATGATTAGTCTGTACAGGCAAACAGCTGCTGGCTGTATCGTCATAATGCACACGGAGCGCCTGGGCACGAGCGTCAGGCAGATCCGTGCAGCTGGCAGCAGCATGTGCTGATTCATGAAAATAAAGGTAATTGTTACCTTTGGAATCTTGCTCTTTTCAGTCCTGCAACCTGGACAGCTTAGAGGCACAGATTGCTTGCACACACTCTGTTCATGTCACATGTAGGCAGCACTTGTCTGCCATTAAGGGAGAGAGAGCATCACCATTTTCCTCAAAATGAGAGATTTCAAGGGTTTTTCTTGTCTGTCTTCCTTGTTTGACAGAATTAATATCTTGTCAAAGCTGCCCAAAACAAAGGTTTGCAAATGATTTGCAGATCCC